TTTTGAAGTTACTGAACTTCATATAGTAAGAGTAAGTCAGTCAAGAGAGTTCTCTCTTTTTTATGTGTATACTTTATCTAGAAATGAATGTAATCAGTTTAACCTTTTCTACCCTCTTCTAATTGATCACTTCCTTAAATTGAATAGTATTTTAATTGTAGATTTTTTTTTTAACTACTTACATCTTTCAGTATAGCCACAAAATTCCCTAACTTTCCTGGAGTGTGAGAGAATATACCTATTTCCAAAGCCCAGGTATGCCTGTGTAATATCACTTTTAGAATTCTTTTTGATTAAACACATTAACTTCCTCTTAGGGGAAGAAAAAAAAAAAAGAAAATAACCATCCTATGCATAGAAAGTGATGATCCTGAAATTTGTCTTTATTCTTAACCTCCTGTATACATGGCTATTTAAGTGACTGTTCTTTTCCAGGGAGAGCTGTTGTTTCCTCTATGTGCTGTGCTAGTTGCCACTGAACTCCTTGCTTGTAAGGCAAAGAAGCTTATACTTTCAGAAGAGCTCTATAGTCTGTGGGTTACTATCAGTCTCTTTTTAATCACTGTTAATGTTCAGATTTAGTAAATGGATTGCTGTAACAGTTTCTATCCTAGACATTGCATTTGCTTCTTCTTCATGTTCCCTCTTAGCTACTCCTCACTTGAGAATTTCCCCTGCATTACGCTGGCACTGTTGAAGGAGAGGCCCTATCCTTACAGCAGACCAGCTTTTCTAGAGCAAAGGTTTGTTGCAGGCCCTGACCTTTACACCTTGCCCAAAGCTCAGCGCTGCTAGACTGCACGGCTGAGTTCTCACAGTGTTCTGTCTTTCTCTGTAATGTTTCCCTGTAAACGTTAGGCATTGTTTAGAATATACGGAGTTCAAGGTGATAAACGTATGCAAACTGAAGATCTCCCATGGCAATATACCATGATACACTTGAACTTAAGCAGAGAGTTCTCACTGAATTACTTCAAGCCCTGGAGGGCTTGCGGATGTGAGCCCACGAATGGGTGAAGCAGGTGAAAGATGTGATAAGAGACTAGAACATCAAAGGAAGCCAATGTACTGCACACTGCTTCTTATTCCATTAACATGGAATACCGATACACAGTAGAAAAGGAAAGTGCAGTGAGATGCCAATGAGAAAGGAAGCCAAAGGAGAAGAAATTACTGCTCCTAAGAGACTCTGCTTTCAGTAAAATTGTCAAGATTTTTATTTACTTACTGGAAGTAATCTTTAAATATATTTAAAGGTTAACAGTGGTGCTTTTAGCCTTTTAAACCCTTAAATCCTAATATCCTTACACACTGATGTTGTAATTTACTCACAGTGGAACAGAAAAGGAAGTTTATGATGTTAGCTAGCGGTCCTCTGAACAGTCATTATCAGAGTTACTGTCGGTGCAAGTGAATGTATCTCCATTGACTTTGATAGAATTTTAGCCATTCATGGTGATGAGAAATTTGGCCTTTGGTATTGAAAAGTTCAGTAACAGAATAATAAATAGTATGGGAAAGTTTAATTTTATATTTGAAATGTGAGAAGTTGATAATAATGATTTTCCCAGGGTTGACACTGATGACGTGTAGCCTTTCTGAAGCCACATTCCCAGACATACTGTTGTCAAGCCTAATGCCTAGATTCAGAGACACAGTAAGGATGAAAATGACCAAGCTATATGAGGGTGCCAGAGTGGAGTTTCAATTTTGCTGAACTCTTGACCAAAAGGAGAGAACATGAAATGTGTGAGAGTACTGATAGGCAGAATATTTCTGTCTAAGGAAAAGATCAGAGTGACCACTAGTGTAGTGAGAAATTACGGCACAGTTATCATTAAAAGCTAAAGAAGCAGAGAGCAGTCATAAAATACAAATTTGTTTTCAGTCTGGACAAGCTTTAATCCAAAAAGAGGGAAATTGAAGGCACTGGATATCAGACAGTCAGAAAGAAATAAAACTGAGGGCAAATAGTATAAAACATTTTATAACAATACATAATAAACCTTTGGAAACCCTCTCACAAAATTATTTTTTTATTAGAAGGCTTAGTAAGAACCACAGTCGCAAATATTTATATTAGCATGTGCCCAGTTTAATGGTTAGAAAATAAAAATTTATCTATAAAGCTTCATGCTTTCTGTCACAGACCAGTTTCTCACTGACAAGAAATTTGCTTTAAGGACTGATTAATATGTAATGATTACATTATTACTCATTATTACAAGGACTGATGTTAGCTGGTTTAAGTCGTAGAATAGAACCTTAAACTGTCGGTTTAGTCCAGCTGGGCAGCTCGGCAGCTCCCATATCGTGCTATTTTGGCGCAGAGAACATAACTTTCAAAAACCAATCTCTGTCTGGACTGCAGACCCAAAATACGTGTCCACCACAACTTTACTTCCTTAGTCATTCAGTTTGGAAAGGTACCAGAAGTTTTCTGGAACTCTTGTTGTCTGCCAGTAAATAAATCGTAGGCGTAAACCTGCAATAAATGTGGCTGCTTAATACCTGCTTAGCCTGTTCCGCTTGGAAGGAATCATTAGAACAAAACTGCATTGTCCTCTGCAAATGAAGGGGGAAATGAAAAGGACAGATTCCCCAGTGCTGTAACCATACTGAGGAGGCTGACTGTGACATTTGACGTTGTACAACATGTAGATCCTGGCCTGCTTTGGGAAATATGAGCAGTTGCTTCATCCCTTAAACATTTGAGTATTTCTACATGGATGAGTACACGCTGTTGAGTTCAGAAGTGAAGTGGTTTCAGAGGAGAAGCTATGTGGCTACGTTACTATGCCACTTAACCTAGCTCGTATTTTCAGTCAGGTTTTTTGTGTGGTAAGATGGCTGCATGCCTTCTGAACTAGCATTAGCCTACCTGCAGCATTTTAGAAAAGCAGACAGCGTAACCGTGATATTGTACCACTGATGTAGATCTGTCCTGAGTGTCTAGAACTGTTCAGGGGTTGGACATTAACAGAAATTTATGTACAAACCCCTTAAAAATATCCTATGGTGTGTAGCAGCCACTGTTAGTCATAGAGCTTATTCAGGAAGTCAGTGAGGCCAACAAAAGCCCGTAGAAACTTGAATCCAGGGTGGATTGAGAAAACTGGCCTCTTCATTGACCTGAGTCATTATTTGTTGTTTTGAAATTTCTTTTTCTCTCTTTTTTTGTCAGAAATCTGTGTAGTGATAAAGGACCAGAGGGAATTTTAGGTTAAAGTAAGAATCCAAGATATCTTTGAAAGTCAAATGTAATACTAACATCGCACAGCTCTGGATAATTCTTTAAAATGGTTAAAGTCTTTTCTTGAGGCAAAGCATATTTAATTATTGCTCCCAGAGCCCTCAAGAAGCAGTATGTGAAGAGAATAGCAAAACTTCCAATTTGCTAGTGGAAACTGTACTTCCCAAGTATCAAGTAAAATCCTCAAGTAGAGACCATTCAAAACCTTGCTTTGAAGTTTAAGGGAGGAGATGAAGGCTGTATGTGTGTATATATATATATATCTATATGCATATATAGATATATATATATATGCAGTCACATATAAATATGAGGAATAATCTAGAGAAGGTTTGTTATGGTTTCCAATTTGTCTTTTCTCTTAGTAATAGAAAAAGAGGACACCTAGAGCTAAAGATAGCAATTGTTAAATTGGGAAGGTAAGAAAATACTTTTCCTAAACAGCATTTAAATCAATTGGCAGCAGTCTGATGTCTACAGGCTATAATTGAAGCAAACAGTTCAGTAATTCTCTAGAAAGGCTTAGATGTCAGTGAGAGTAGTGAAAGTACTTAAATAATTGAGATTATGAGAAAAATCAAATTTTGTTAAAAGCAAACTATAGAATAGTTATTTGTGCTGAGAGAAGGGGTTATGTTTTCCTTTAAGACATCAGCAATAAATACTACTGGAAGCAGGATGTCAGGCTGACACTTTCTTCTGCCCTTTCTGAGCGTTGTTTTTAATCAGGCCTTTTCCAAAACTTGTTTATATTTCTGGGATTCAATCGGATTTGTTGTAGTATCTCACTGACTTCAATTTTGTTTGAGGAGATCTTACCAACATCAGAAGCCATCTGCTTGGACCAAAAAGTCCGCCCTAAAAGCAAGCATTAAAGTATCACCAAGTTCCTCATGCTCGTATTGCAGATGTGTCAAATGATGAATCGTATTGACTATATTTGGTTTGGTTGCTTAGTTCTTCATTTAGGATACATTGGTGAGTAAGGTGCATGCTGTCCTTCTGCATCTCTTTTTAATCCAATTTAAGACCTTCTCATATTGCAGAAAGGCCAGGGCGCAGTCATATTAGCGGAGGGTATTTGACTGTTTTTTTTTCTTTTAATTGTGTTAAAGATGCAGATGATTACACCAAAATGTATTTAGCTTTTGCATAAGTTCTGACTGTTTATTGGCAGATGAAGTTAACACATGACCTATTCACATATGTAAGCTTTATGAGTAGGGACTGCTTTCTGCTCTTTATCTTCAAAGAATTTAAGGGTGCTGATGATTGAATAAACAAATCCTATCCTGTCATTGGGTAAATTGCCTATCTTCTTGCTGTGCTTGGAATCGCTACTAAGAAAGTGCTATCTGTTCTTCCATAAACTGTTTATATAATACAAGTAAAATAGCACTTAAGTCCAGGACCATAATTTGCAAAAGGTTACTGCCAGCCTGACCTAAATCTTAGGCCATTCATTTCATCCATGAGATTTGGGTCGAGGTCTGCATATATTGCTATTGGCTGCTATTCACTCTAGGGGGATTTTACCATTGTTAGAATCCAATAGCATACAGTAATTGCTCCATGAAATCACAAGATTTAACTGAGGAGTTACTATCTTTACATCTTTATCTGAAATATAAAGGAACGCAAACATAAAAAAAGAATTAGACAGGGCAACCCCAATAGTGTGAATTAATATAAACAGCCACAGTGCGTGTGACCAGCCACTAATAGTATTTTCATTTGGTTCAAATAGAAGAAAGAAGAATGGAGAAGAAGAGCAGCCAAAGTCCACTCTCAGTAATCAGTACCGAATTGTTACACCCACGTTCCAGTATAATATGGACTACAAGAAAGTTGGCAAATGTATTATTATAAACAACAAAAATTTTGAGGAGAGAACAGGTAACTTTTTTCCTTTGATGATACTCGTTACAGATTTTAGAGGTTTTACACTTTCATTAATCAACAAGCCTGTTATTTCTAAGACATGGAATTTTAATGAATATATTCTTCTTATTTGGAAAATAGCTATTCCTACAAATTATTCCTTTTCTTTAACACTTATATTAGAGCAGCTCATGGCATCTCCTTTGCAGTAGGCACATCCTTATGGGTGTTTAAAAGAGCATATCACCAAAGTCTATCAACTTCAGACTAAACCTTTGCCCTAAGTTTAAGGTTGTGTTGTTAAAATTTGAACTTTGTCATCAGCAGCCCATGTTATAACTTCTGTATCCCTGAGGTACAGATAAAAGACGCTGCTGTGCTCTATTCACACTCCTGAGATAGCTGAATTTAACTTTCCAACTGTGGATGGTTTTGAAGCAGACAGATAATATTTGTGTTATAGTCAACTCCATAGATCTTTGCCAGGTCACAATGCCTTTTTCCTACACACTGTGCAAACACACTAAATGCAATGTTTACTCCAAAGAATTTACATAAGTTTATTTTATGTGAGCATCACAGTTGGGATTTCTTATCTATAAAAAGATACTTGAGAAAATGAGACTAAGTTCAGTGTTATGTGGAGCTGTAACTGCAGATTTTTTGCTTCAATTTCATGGTTTTGGTAGAGATTTTAAAGGTAATATTATGAGTCTTTGAAATTTTTTGTAACAGTGCTCAACACTGTTTAAACTCTTTATTCTCGGAATGCCGTATGCATATGTTACATTACATAGCCAAAAAGAGATAGGTCCGTAGAGGCCCCATGGTGCAAGACGCTGGGGGTATAGGAGCACTTTTCAGGACAGGATGCATATTATCATTAAACCTTGCCTTATTTGCCTTAAACCAAATCTAACAATTTGTTCTGAATGCAAACAGGTTATTTGAGAAAGTATTTAAAGGATTGTTTTAAAATCATGTCACCATGACATTGTCAATAAACTGTAAACTTAAAAAGTTACCTATGAACTTGTGAATTGTTTTGAATTGTTTTATGTGCAATCAACTGTATTACTTGTTTTCTGGCAGGGATGGGCACACGCAATGGCACTGATAAAGACGCTGGAGATCTATCTAAGAGTTTTAGAAACTTAGGTTTTGAGGTTTGCACATACAATGACCAAAGCCGTGATGATATGGAACAATTACTGAAGCAAGGTAATAATTTAGAATCATAAAATAATTTAGGTTGCACAGGACATCTAGAGGTCATCTAGTCCACCTCCCTGCTCAAAGCAGGTCAAATTAGAGCAGGTTGCTTAGACCCCACTAAGTGCAATTTTCTCTGTAGAAGGATTCCCTTTCTGACTGGATTAGACTTAATTCCTCACCTCTTCCTCCAACATCAATTCATATTTGTGTAGTTTTGTGGTGCGTCTTGCCTACTCCAGTGGGCTAGACTGAGTCAAGTGAAGAGTACGGTTCATGTATGCAGCGGTATTCACATCAGTGAAAAGTGGGTTGTGTCATCTTCATCTATTCTTTTTTCATGCCTTCCGTTGAAGTAGAGACCCAGAGTAAATTTGGTCTTTGAACGATCTGTTTGCTAGTTGTAATTTTCATTTAAAATGGTGCTTCCATTGGGCTAAGAAGTGTTTGATTTGTAGCTGCTGAGGAGGATCACAGTGATGCTGCTTGTTTTGCCTGTATCCTTCTAAGCCATGGGGAAGAAGGCCTCATCTACGGCACAGACGGACCCATGGCAATCAAGAATCTGACTGCACTCTTCAGAGGAGACAAATGTAAAAGCCTCATAGGCAAACCCAAATTATTTTTCATTCAGGTAATAGCCCTAAGGTAAATATATTATATTGCTACCGCAGTGGAGAAAACATGTTATGTTGTTTGTCTGTTCTGAAAGGGCCCTGTAAGTTAATTTATTGCATTTTACTAGATGTTTGGTGAAGAAAATATGTTGGGAGAAGTTGACTATAGGTAAATTGTTTATTTTTAAAAGGTGGGTTATATACAAGAGTCATAGATGTAAAGAACGTACTGTCATTGTAATTTTCTCCATCCAGTTTTCTGTACATGGTTTCTCTTTGTTATTGGTAATATATCAACTTCAGAGAAGAGAGAGAATCTCCTGTGTGCAAAAAAGGTGAGGACAGTATGTGAGTATCAGTAGAAAGAATATTGTCCAGATCAATTTGAACAGAGGCTGTCTGTACAAATTACTGCATTCTACTAAAATATTTTTTCTCTCCCTCAGTAGCCTGAAAATTGATATCATATTATTACATTAGCATATAATTAATTATATATTACTTAAGCTTTTTAAAGACAACTTTTCCAAGCAGTATTAGCTGACACACCATGGGTCTGAATTCCCTTTTTCGTCATAGTATTATGTACATATGGGAGTTGCAGCAGGCATGTGGTTTTCCCTAGGTTGTCCCGTCTATTAATCCTCAATCTCAAAGTCTGTTTTAGACTCTTCATACTATTAAGTTATGTTCCTTTGGTTATAAGCTTGTAATGGGTTCGGTGTTGCTTTATAAATTATGTTAGTAAAGGCAACTAACTCAGCAGACTGCCCAGGAGACTGCTATAACAGCTGTCAGTCAAAACTACTGATCAAGGGCTGAAACTTAGTGGCTTAGTCTGTGGTACCAGTGTATATTATAACTAAACTACATGACTAAGAGGAAAATAGGAATAAAAGAGAGAAATATAAAATGCTACACATCATAAATCTCTTCCTTTCCATAGTGTTAGAAATGCAGTATACTTGAAGTATAGTGCTATGGCAATGAGTGTCAGGAACTAAAGACAATGTGTAGTCCACTATAAAGAAAATGTCCAGAAGTTACATTACCTAAGACATTATGTAATAATTGAGTGCTGAGGAAGGACAGCTCTAGAATAGTAAAATTGGTCATAGTTTAGAGTAAGTTGTCTAGCACACTTAAACTAATGCTGATTTCGCACCTGGAAAATCTACTGAGTTCCAAAGCCTGCAAGACCATTACCTCCCTTTACTATACACAAGAAACCGTATTGGAAAATAGGTAAGCTAGCCATGGTCAGGCGTGGTTCTCCATGAACGGTATCACTAAGTAACTTAAATTACTTTAAGCATTACTTTTTGTTTCTAATTCATACAAAGTACTGCTTAAAACTGTCAGTTAAAAAATGTTAACAACTACTTTGTGAAGCACCTCATTTCTCCTCATTAGACAAGTTCTCTTTGTCTTCTCTACTGTTTCAGGCATGCCGAGGCTCTGAATTTGATGAAGGGATACAGACAGACTCTGGACCAGCAAATGACACTCTGGAAACAGATGCCAATCCTAGATACAAAATCCCAGTAGAAGCAGATTTTCTATTTGCATATTCCACAGTGCCAGGTAAAAAAAAAAAGAGGGTCGGTGGGGAGGAAGCCTAACAACTTACAACCATTTTTCCTTGCAGTATTTGTATGTGTAAATTAGACATGGGTTTTTGCACTTACTTAAATTTCAGCTCTTAGGTATGTATAAGTAAATAAACAAGAGGTAGAAAAATGCTTTATGAAGAACGTTTTCAAACTTTTAAAAAAAATTGTTTTCTCTTATCTTGAGTGCTCTTACCATTTTTATTTTGGGAAGTACAAATAGAAGTGCCATATTGGCTTTCACTGCTGTTCAGAATTTGAATGTACCATGGTTAGCACCCTTCTTTTTTTTAACTAGAACTTAGAATCTAGGGAAAATATTCCCACTGTAGTGCTATGGAGCTAACCGTATGGAAATGTTTGTCACAGTAGCCATAACTTTGTATAAGTACATTGTTAACATAGAGAGTGTGAGCTGAGTATGACAGCTGTCATCATTAGAAAAAGAAATAAGTTATCTTAAATACTTGTTGAAGATTACTTGATAAAAAAGCATAATCTGAAGTCAGTAACTCCTTAATTATAGAGTAGACAGAGTTTGGAGATAGACAATTAATCTCTGATTGAAATAATTAATATAGCTGGAAAAAGCAGCCACTTATATCTTCAGTTTTCAGCTGACAGTTTCCAGCTGTAGTAGTTGTTCTAATAAAACATGTTATTTCTGCAGAACTTGTTGTGTCTATACCTTACCCGTAACAGTTGCAGCGCTACTACCACTGGTATTACAGACTGACCTTCATTGACGATACTTTGTACATTGGTGGACAAATCACATAAATTCCTTGAGTTGTACCTGTATCCACCCCTTTTATGCTAGCTACAGCCGGAACAGCAAAAGAGCAGCCCAGATTTGGCAGGTGGAGGCATTACAGAAGGGAAATGCAGTGCTATTTTGGGAATCCTGTCCTTCTAAGGCCCAGTTTAGTGAGTATGTTGAATGTGACTTGAAGCCAGGAAGAGGAAGGGCTGCAGTTTATTCTTAGAAAGGAAGAGCATGAAATCTTACTTCTTGCATTTTCCCAAATGCAAAAATATAGCATGATACTTTAATATTGTGAGGATCAGAGAGCTAAGAATACACAATATTCTCTGCTTTAATGAATATGTTATACAAGTGATGAGAATTAAACCTTCCATTTGTGCATAGTTACTCCTTCAGCTAGAACCCTTCACCTAAATTCACACCTCTCTGCCATTCCACTTTTCAGCACATGACAAAGAGAAAAAAGAGGAAGAACAGCCCCATGTACTTTCTTCTTTCTTTTTACTATAAGGTTATTATTCCTGGAGGAATCCTGGAAGAGGCTCCTGGTTTGTGCAGTCTCTATGCTCTGTACTAAATGAGCATGGAAAACAACTTGAGATCATGCAGATCCTCACACGGGTCAACTACGTGGTGGCCACAAATTTTGAATCACAGTCTGATGATCCACGCTTCAGTGAGAAGAAGCAGATTCCCTGCGTAGTCTCTATGCTCACTAAAGAACTTTACTTCTGAAAACATATTTTAATGTGGCCAATGGCATGAAATCAGGGTACACTTTTGGGGGGGGGAGGTTTGATTATAAACTGGTTTAACACTCTTTTATAATAGAAATGTAATTATACTGGCTTTTCATATTGTATAAGCTGGGATTTCTGTAGGATGGGTGATATGCAGGATTTTACCGAAGAAACAAATGCTGTGGGCCAGCTGTGCAGCTAACAGTAAATACTGTGTCTTGATCTCCCTTAGCATGACAGTCTTGATTTATGGATGCTGAAGAGGTAAATTTCCATACCTATGAGCAACGAAAGCTCCCAAAATTATACTTATCTTCCCTATTACTTCATACACTCAAGAGATGCTGTGAACTTTTCTTTTGTAATGTTCAATTGTTATATGTTTTTTGATTATTTATCCCCCCACCACTTAAAACTTTCCATCTAATTTCATTCATATTTTTGGTTACTGATTTTTCTTTTTAATCTTACATTGCTTTTGGTGCTTCACCACTATGAAGTGGAAACGTTTCAGTGTTTGCTGCTTCATAGGCTGAGTAGAATAAGAGGTGTAATTTTAGGCATCAATGTTATCAGCTTCTAGGAGGAAGGACAGGGAGATCACAAATTGGATCAAGGTAGGATTAAAGGAAATTCTCTTGGTGGTTAGTTTTTGCTGTTCAGTTTTCACATTCACTAAACACTGGTCTTGCACATGCTGGTAATGGAAAAGCAGAGAACCACTCTCTCTAGAGGATAAAAATAAGTCCAAACATGAAGCTAAGATAATTGGCAATGTTCATTTCTAGTTTCTGATGGAAATCAATGGAGTTGCTTGTTGTTTTGTTTCATGGAGTTTTTTTAAGCGTAGGAAATACTTGATCTCTTTTTCCATCTTGGGGAAAGAGGGACGGATTTCAGTGTTCTGAGACTCAGATACCTGACCAGTAACAGCTATTTCTTTTGACTAAATAATTGTTTTGTGTGTTCTACCTATTACTAAAATGGGGGTGGGCATGGTGTAATGCTTACTTGGGGAGGGGTGGGACAGAAAGGAAGGGAAGTCTGTCTCTCAATCTGAATAAACTAAACAATCCCAGAAAGCAGATTGTAAGATACTGATGAAAAAAAGCAATCATGAGACTCCATCTTTTCTTTCACTTAATTACTGGTTCATGGAACAGTGACTTCCTTGGAGATTTCCTAAGAGCATCATGTTATGGGAATGTCCAGTGCCAAACTGAATTTGTAGCTTGAATTTATTTCTTAGTCTAATATGTTTGCTTTCCTTTTATGAGCATTATTAATGGCGACAATTTGATTGCTGCTCTGTGCTTAATTTGAAAGTCACTTTACTTAGTTACAATTCTAGCATAAGGTCAATAAGTAAAGAATCAATATTTGTAGATGGTTTAGCTGAATAGCGTATAAATGTAACAAATAGAAAAATCAAAATGAAAATCTTTATAAAACTGGACAAACTGTAACTGGAGGAATCCTTATTAAAATGCTATAATAAAGAATTTTTCCTTGTAAATGACAGCTAAATGATAAAACAGCCTGAAACTCTGGTATTACGGTTTTTCTTTTTGCAAAAAAAAAAAAAAAATCTGCTTGGTGATTCAGAAATTCTGAACCAACAGAGAGTTAATGGTTAGGTTTTGTTCTAAAACTTTAAATTTTCATGTTGAATTGCTAGAATTGTGTGTCTCAGTAATAATTGTATGTTTAGATTTAATTTCTGTTCATTGAGGAATTTGCCAAGACTGGAAGTACTTACTTGAATAGAAACCAGAAGTGCCTTTCTAGCTATGTATTGTCTTGATTTTGTATTTTGGAGTAATGTTAGTGATACTACATTCCTACTTTTTATATTATCTTTACAGTTGGTTGCTAGCTCAAAAAAATAAAGTTAATGATTTGGTTAAACTGATAAGTGAGTAGATAGTCACCTTTTTTCCAATTATTGTACGCTATACTTTTATGAAATTCGCTAAGAGAATAGGTACATAGTAATTAGTGCCAAGTTACCAAATTTTTTAGTTTATTTTCCAACTAGTACTGTGATATAGTGAAGCATATTTTTTTCAGAAGTCAAATTTACAACTGTATGAATTGAATAAATGACTGTTTTGTGGAAAGCTTGAGCATGACACTAGTAAAGACCTTTCTAAAAAAAATTTATATGAATATCTGCCTGTCTAACACTTAATCTGGTGAAGTGAAAACAAACCAAAATACATCTCAAAACCTTTCTCAGCAGAGATTACAGATGGTCTTCTGCATCTTTGTCAAGACAAGATTTCCAGTCTCAGTTGAAAAGTAATTTAGAAGAGTAAGCTGGCATTTGATGACTTGGACTAGGCAGGCCAGATGCTCTCTTAGAGTAAACCCCAGTTATTGAAAGGATTTTGATGGAACTGTCCTGATTTACCAGCCCTTGAAGACTTGCCCAATGCCTGTGATGTCTTTACACAGTAAATTAGTTAGTGGTCTGGCAATTCATATGAAAATGCTCTTCCTATTACTTCTGGCAAATAGCTTAGACTTAAACTAGTTTTCTGGCATTAGAGGTACTCTTGTTTTAGCAAGAGAAATATATCCAGTCAACTTTTTCAGTATTTCTTATTGCTCTGGAAGCTCCTTCATATCCTTATATCTCATTAGTGTTTATCCACTACTGTTTATCCTGGTTTTTAAATTCTGTTAACAACGTTCACTTCTCTCCAAGACTGTCCTTTTATTCAGAAGTTGTAGCTTGGAAGCCACAGAGCCTTGGGGACAATAAAAGAGCAAGTAGAGGTTTTCAATCAAGGCATTTAAGACTTTTAAAATAATTCCCCAAAATGTAACAGTATACACAGTTAAGGAGCACATTTCCTCTTGCATATGGAAGAGGAAATGATCTTTAATACAAAGAGCAACTTTATCTTAAACGTAGAAGCCTTGGGAAAACATAGAAATTGCCCTCTTATGTAGAGAGAGGCATGAGATCATCGATGTCATTCAAAATTGCTTGTGATAAAGATAGATCATTGTATAACTGTGCCAGGGTTTGTGTGCATCTCACCCCTCCCCATTTCCCTTACAAATAGTCCCCTGGGCCAGCCTACATGGGATTGGCGAGGAAGACTCGGAGGAGGTAATTAATATTAGCCTTTCCTTTAAGAGTAGGAAAAGCTCCTTGCCCTATTTGACATGATCTCTTAAAAAAAAAAAAAAGGTTAGGGGGGAAACAGCGAGGGCTTTTTTATCAGATTTTACTGAATGTTTACCACAATGGACACCAAATAAGGACAGCATGGGAAGTAATAGGTGACATGGTAGCTGTCTGTCTGAGAAGAAAGGCAAGCTAGTAGTGTTATTTGAAGCTCTTCAGTGCTCTAGTGTGGGAAGTAAATGGGCACTTGCAACACTTGCAAGAAATCTCTCCTGGTAAACCGAAGGTTTCCTAGAAGAAGAAGATAGTATAGCAAAAGGCGATCTCATAAACGTGTACAAGTATGTGAAGGGGGCGTGTCAAGAGGATGAAGCCAACCTCTTCTCCGTGGTGCCCAGCAGCAGGACAAGAGGCAACGGGCACAAACTGAACCACAGGAAGTTCCACCTAAACCTGAGAAAAAACTTCTGCACTGTAAGGGTGACAGAGCATTGGAACAGGTTGCCCAGAGAGGTAGTGGAGTCTCCTTCCCTGGAGATATTCAAAAGCCGTCTGGATGTGATCCTGGGCAATATGCTCTAGAGGACCCTGCTTGAGCACGGGGGTTGGACTAGATGATCTCCAGAGGTCCCTTCCAACCTCAACCGTTCTGTGATTCTGTGAAAAAAGAGCACATCAGTTCTATGTACTGACTTACGACTGAAGGCAAAAGTAAATGTTGAATCTTAAACAACCTTCAGGCTAGTTCTGATATATGAAATACACAAAGATCAAGCATAAAATGCCTGGAGACGGTGCCAGAAGGGAAAGCAACTTCTGACTACAACTTACAGTGGTATGGAAAGAGAGAGAAAGGCATGATTCCTTGCTTAGGGACCATTGTCTCTGCTACGTAAGTTCATTGCTTTACATCATGTCCAAAAAGTACTATTCATATTACTCAAGAATAAAAACTCCCACCAGCTGACATCACATCAGATTAGTGATGTTAACACCCTGATAGCTGATAGCCAAAATGCCGTAAAGAGACCTTATCCTCAGACTTGAGCAAGACCAGACAGCTGAATAGTGACTTGTAAGCTGTATGGCATTTTAGCCTATTTTCAGTTCAAATTTATAATTATTTTCTGTCTAAAAGCAATTCCCTTGACATTTGCAGGCTTAGTTGAACACAGCTTAGTGTGGAGTGTGACAAGACTTACTATAGTTAATGATTTGTGAAGTGAAAAAGTCAGCCTAAGACCGAGACTAGTAATGGGTTGACATGGTATTGTAGACACTCTGCTCCGGGGAAAAACAGGGACTGTTTAGCAAGCTGATCCAACAAAACAAAGTTACCTTTGGATTTTTTTCTGCGTGGGAGACATTTATGTTTGGCTCAAATATGTGTATTTTTTTTTCCTTGTAAGTGAACTACAAGTTTCACTTTCCACCGGGTTTCCCCTTACAGACCAATCTTTTATTTGCTTCCTGTGATAGAAATGGGAATTTCCTTGTGGGTCATATTTCAGGGTGTTTGTGTTTATGCAAGGGTTATAAGAAGGCAGTCGCAATGCGGAGCAATGACACATTGTGTTGTGCTGCGGAAAATGATACAGGTAACTTGGAAATGCTTTAAGGGATATTTCTCCAAGACCTTCCACACCATGAACGCATTTTGCCTGTAAGTATTAATACAATCTGTTTACCTTCTCCTGGTATTATATTTGAAGTTTTGTAATAGCCTTCATATTAATTCATTTGCAGCACTTTATTTGCATTTTAACTCAAGTGCCCTGTTACATTCGAAAGGGTTGAAAGCAATCAAATCTCTTAATGCCATGCATCCAAAAATCTGAGGGGGTATAATCATGGAACTGGCATTGTCTATTCTGAATTAGAAGTAAGTGATTTAAAAGGTTGCTCTCCACTGAAGAGAAAAAATGATTAAATGTAACAATTAAAAACTTGTTTTCAAAATACAGAGTGAGATCACACAGATGATTAAGAGCCTATTGTAATCCCAGAAGTTTTTGTTTTTCCACCTGCAGATCTTGATATTTACTCAAACCGAGATGAGACTTTTATCCTGTCATAGACTCGTGGAATATGGGTTTTGTGACAGATAAATCACTTGCCAGTTGTGGTGGCTTTGTCGTTCAGGTTGGGAAGAGCGTTACAGTGTCTTTGTCTGAAACTCCAGGCATGTCCCCCTACTATTGACACTAAGAACTGCAACGTACATTTGAGTTTGTGTGCAGTCACTGCTTTTTTGGTTTTGGAAATTGCTTTTTTGTCTATTTTTGGTAGGCAACAGGGGCAAATATTAGGCAATGAAGTTTATAACATAGTCTGTCACCACATTTGTACAACAAATCTTTCTCCCAAAAAGGCAAAATTGCCAAAGTTTCCCTAACAAAAAAAGTACAGGCAGAAATGCTTTACAGAGGTCACCGGTAGACCTAGGTTTGAAATGGGCCATAGGCATTGGCACCGTGGTGTCACCCGAAACAGTGGCCACTGAAGTCTGTAACTTTAGCTGTGTGAGGAGGGTAGAAGTGTGTGTGTAGCGTAATAAACTATTTCTGACCACCACTCCTAACTATATCATGTTTACTTCCGATACCGTGGAGTAAATCTCTGAAGAAACACAAGCAGAGGAAACCGCTTAAATCTCTCAGTCCAAGCAGGGTGTTCAAGAAAGGAACTAGAGTCCAGCACTGCAGTCCTTCAGATTTTCCCAGCTTCATATGAACAGGCATGTTAGAGACAGTATAACGTTGCTGTAGCTGACAGACAAGTTGAAGCCAAGTTCTTACAAGAAAAGGATTTGATTTTGCAAGGAGTGGGAGATTTGCAGTGAGGCAAAAGGAAGCTTTTGGAAACTGTCTTTCCCAAATGGTATTACAAATGGACAAAACTTGGTATTGTTGGAAATGTAACTAAATGAGAGAAACTAGATATGATTTTAAATAAACAAGCAAGTAATTGTGACATAATAAAAAAAAAAAAGTGTTCAGTGTGCAAAATATAGTGCCAAACATGCAATTGATTCCCAGGAGTCCCAAGCTCCTGTATGAGTTGCAGAGAAATGGCAGTACAGTGGTTACCTCGCTCTGCCAGCCAGGCACCAGAAGTGTTATTTGAGGGAAAGCACTGAAAGGCAAATGAGCTTAAAAACAGCAATAAAAGTCCAATAACCAAAATGACCTTTAAAATGTTCCATCTGATGTTCTTGCCGTTCTCAAATCCCCCAGATTGCTACCTGCCTGTTTTATTAAAAGGTTGTTTAACAAAACTTTGAAGAACGTGATAGTGCATCGGTGCACTTTGCCTTGCTGTTAGTCTCTGTTTCCATCTCTGCCACAGCTTGGCTATAAGACAAGGAGCAGGTAATTTAACTTCTTCTGAGGGCTACAGTCAGATTCCAATTTTCCTGGTAAAATTGGAGGGGACATTCTGAACATAGACCAACATAAATAAAAATAGATATTATCTGTTCACCCATCAGTAAAACTGTGATACTAACCCACATCTTAGAATGCTCTCAAATGTATTTTGTCACTGTTTATAAATCCCTCTGCGGGCATTGTATTAAGGGTCTTACAGATTTGCAAATTATTAGAATTGTAGTTTTATTACTAGATTTTTAAAATATCTTTAGATTTTAAGCTCTTTAGGCCAGGCTATGCCTACTTTATGCAGTGTCAATCACACTGCTAAGGCACTATCAGAAAGATATATCTGATGCAATGCTCCTAGGTTGCAGCTGTTGTTTCTAATGCAAGGAAAGGGCCAAAATGAGACTCTGTTGGCAGGTCTTCTCAGTTCCTGGGCAAATCAACCCAATCATATAATCATATTATAATAACAAAATACACTTAATATTATAGCATATATAATTCATTATATAATTTGTAATATAATTGTATCTAATAAATTAAATGTAGACTTTAATTGTGTTTTATAAGTAAGTGTCATTATAATTTATTATAGATTTTTATTTTTCTGTATTTATTTACATATAGATTCATTATCACTATGGAAATAACCACTTTAGAGATATTTGTTTTTTTCTCAGGTGATCTTAAATCCAGTAAAATGCTGCTTAGGAGGAATCTGAGTGAAAGGAATTAGCCTCAAGGTTTTTGCTCTCTTTACTTTCCGAGTAGAAGAAACAATCAGGATGGCTTCCAGAAACAGAAGAAATTCTACAGGTACAAAATTTAGTTTATGGAGGTTTGTCTATTGTATGTCAAGTTTCAAACCCTTTTCGTCAGTATTTGACACTATACCCTTCCTCTCGTTGTGCCAAGGGCTTTGTGTTAAAAAATTAGTGAAAAACAGGGAAAAACAGCGTATTAGAAAAATCTGATGAGTCCAGCTGGACTTACTCCATAATTCTACCCCTCTGGTTCTTTCCATAAAGAATCTGTCCTAAATGCAGCCTGTCTCTTTAAAACAGAATCATTCTTGTCCCTGACACAGAGATTAGACAGACATTGTGAAAAGACTGAAATCCTTAAAAATTAACCGGGAACAGGGAGATACAATCAGTAGTTCCAAGGCACTGACGAAGAAATCTTACTTCCACTGAAGTCAGTTGTAAGTGGAATTACAACGCAGAGCATTTCTCGCGCCACCACAAAGTCCCAGAACTTAGGTACGTCCTCTCCTGTCCCTTACTGGAAGATCCAAAATGACGCTGACTGCTCCCTTCAGTCACTAAATTCTTTCAAAATCTTAATTTCCCATACACAGTTTACAGCTTAAAGGACAGAATGAGATTTCCACTCCTTTCATTGAGTGGTAAAGGGCGTTAATAAGTAAAGACTAAGATTTTGATTACAAATCCACTACTGGTTAGAAAATGCAAATCTGAGAATATAGCCGGCCACAGCGTATGCAGGGTCACTGTCCCCCACCTCTGACATTTTTGCTTGTATTTTCCATGTTAGACGTTTTCCTGGTGTTACATCACAATTCATAGGGCAGGGTAGTTTACTGTTAGTGGTGTTTATGCCTCATCCAACTGGAATGCCACCTACAAATGTTATTAGCATGCTGTTTACTCTCCTTCAGACCACTAGTGAAGAAGTAGTTAAATAGACCAGACCTTAAGATATCTTTTCAGCCACCTCTGTCAACGCAATACCTTATCGCTCTCCTTTGTTTACAGGTTTGGCTAGTTGTCAGCAGTAACACTGATATCAAGGAAGGATGGCCTGGCCCTACTTTTATAGCTTTGATTTGTGCTTGTCGTCTCTAATTGAACACGTTTCATGGCCACTTGAGCACAGAAGCCCAGTGATCAGCAACAATTTCCAGTTCAAGCAGGTCCTTGTAATTGATTAATTAGCAACAAATTGAGTAACAGTGCTGTTCATTTCTCTTTGATTGCTAGGAACTCAAAATACATTCTACCACAAGGATGAAGTTTGCAAGTATGGATTCCTTACCAAATCACCACCTCTTCAACTTTTGAACTCTCAGGTATGCTAGCACAGATTCCAGCAATCTCTCAAGAAACCTTTGTTATTTCTGCTCTCCTGAGTTTTGATGAAAGATTTTCTCTTTGGCAGAATTCCTGGAAAAGGCGGCTTTTCGTCTTGTCCAAATCCAGCAAAGGCTGTTACACCCTGAAGTATCTAAAAGGCCAGAATGTAAAGGGCTCCATCGCTGTTGATCAGTATGTAACTCTAATGTGTCACCTTTTTGTTTTAAGCAACATATCAACACTCTTAAATGTGCAGACGTTTAAGAAGGTTAAGATTGAGGCTCTTGAGCGAAATCCCACTGAAGTCAAGAGAAGAGTCCTGTGGACTTTTGTAGGCTCTAGGTGCAGCTTATAGTGTTTGATTTACGTAGAATTAAAAATCCTAAATATTTTTGCTGGAATTTGAGGGACGTTTATGTGAGGGATTGTGACAATGTTTTGTCTACAAAACAGACAGTTTGGCTCCGTTACCTAGAACGCTAGGTTCCTGTAGTAGAAGATACTTTATCTTCTGTGAGTACAGCACTATGCTGTACTTGTGTGTGTTATTCACACACAAGTAAGGATGGGCTGTGCCACTCTGTTGAACAGAATCTTTCCCAGTTTGCGACTTTACGAAGTACTCCACAAGCTGAGCAGAAGTCTCACTGCTTTTACTTAGCTCTTTGGGCTGATGCTGGCTCTTCTGCTGCCACTTACTGCGCTGAGAAATTGCCCTGCTTGGCTCATTTGGGTTGGTCATTTCATTCCTCTTGGGACAGTGCCCACTACAGGCTGCAGTAAGACTGGGTATCATTGACTTTGTATTAGTGCCCTTTATAGCATCACCTGTGAAATTAAATATATAGAAAGGAAATAGTTCTGGCAAAGAAATGTAAAGGTTTTACTGGTTAGACTTGAGGCCTGATCCAAAGGCCCCCTGGACTTGCTAAATATTCACTGGACTCGTATTGCTGTTGTGTTTCTTCCATTAAAAGGATTTCTAGTGTGAAGCTTTAGAAAAATTTCCAGCTTGCTCAGGGTTATGTTATTATATTATTGCTATCATTTTTTTCATTGTTGTTACTATTTTTACTACAGCAGCAGTTTGATCTAATCTAATGTCTTGGAAGTTAATGGAAGCGGTGCTTCCATTTAAGAATGCATTAAGAGTATATCGTGTGTATTCCTGCTCTCCTCCATTAAAACACTGTTAATGTACAGTTGGTTTTGAATCAAACTTATTGTTTGATAAGTTGTTGAAAAACTGTAGTTGTTGGGAAAAAAAATCTGCAAAGAATTTTTCTTAGTCTAACTTCTTTTCAAGGTTCTGTGTTCGAGCAACAGCCCCTTTATTCAAAAATGAGTTTCCAAAATGTGGACATGAGTCACTGTAAAAGTTGATTTTTATTTGCTTGTTTGGGAGCTTTCTTTACTGAAAGACCAGAAAATGTTTTGGAAGTGTGCACTTATTTTCTTGAGAATTTTTTCAGGAGAAAATATATACCTTTTTCCATGCAGATTTCATCATGTCATGCAGTGCTTAGAGTGTAAAATACACACACACACACACACACACACACACACACACACACACATATATATGTATATCTATATGTATGGCTGTATAGGATGTTTCATATGCTTGTCCTCACAGGATCGTAAATATAGAAATTGGCATAAGTAATTCTGAAAGGATGGCAACAGTAAGGAAGATGTTTAAATGCTCTCCTGAAGAGGTGATATCTATCAGTACTGGAGACAGAAGTTACTACCTCATTGGGAGGAGCAGGTATGCATAGAAAGACATGTAAATACAATCTGACATCACAATTAAGCTACTGTAACACCATGCTGCTGCCCAGGGCCAAGGTTCTTCTCTTTCCCGGCAGCTCTGGCCAGCAGTTCCAGTCTCTCCTTGTGTCAGATCTATTGATTGTGCAACTCCAGGATGAAATGGTTCAGCTAGTTGATCCAGTGGAAAACTGTTCTTTATGTCTCTTTTTTCCTGCGGCAAGGTTAATTTTCTATTGGTTTGGACAGCTGAACTAACTTCTCCAGTAGCCACACTGTTAAAAGATCCAAAATGAGAAAGTAATGGAAGAACACAGCTGGAGGTGGGCATGGCAACAACATTGTATCAGTGTAGTAATGTAATATCAAACTACCAGTAAAGGGTCATGAAAGAGCAGAAAGTTTTGCCTTCTAACCTCGTGGCTTCTGGGAATTAGGACACTTTATGCTGCTTATGGATAAGTTACCGGAAATAATTCTGCCCTGGAAAGAAGATTATTGATCAAGGAAAACAGATTGAAGGGGGAAATTCCCGAGAGAGAAAATAGACTTCAAAAGGAATGATTCAGGTCCTCTATTCAGACGGCTGGCTTTGCAGCTCAGCATCATGGCTGCTGCACTCCCTGCTCTCCCAATCTATAATCCAGTCTTCAACAAGAGCCAAAATTACTGCTACTGTGGTGATCAGCCAAAGTTCAGTTGGGTGAGGGAGTACATTGGGCAATGTGCTCCTCTGCTGCTACTTCCCAGCTTCCCCTCTCACTTTCCCAGGCACAAACAGATCAGGGATTTTCTGTCTTAATGCAGAAGAGCAGCTGTGTGAAACACTGATAAGCACAGAGGAAAACACATACCTATGCATCACTTGAGCATGCCATTCTGCTCCTTCACTCAGGGCACAAGTATTAGATGGGAAGTGATCCAGAATTCATAAAACTAATCCCACTTGCAAGCACAAAACAGTGTTTCTGTGGTGCATTCATGACCTATTGCTCATTGTACTTGCTCAAACAAGTTCATAAGCCTTGCTGGCCATCTTTAGGGCAGCACACAGCAAAGCAGCATTACACATAGCAAATGAAGCGGAAGGAACCATTCTGCCCCTCCTTCATCTCTCTCTTGCATGTGCGTACACACACGCACGTACGCTTCTTCATAGCTTTTAGCTCACAGTCCTGTGCTTCATCTCTTTAAGACTTGAACTTTGCCATCTGGCTGAGGCCACCCAAGCATGCTCTCTTGAAAGGAAGAAGCGTATTTTAGCCCTAAAAGAGGAAGTGGGTGAGCAAGTGCATTTTCCTTGTGGTTTACTTATGAGGTTTGCATTTCTTTTGTTCCAACCCACAGGGAGGAGATAAAGGACTGGGTTGCTGAGATATCTTCGGTCTGGAGGGAGGCGATAGGAGGAGGATGTCCTCAGGTAACTTGTTACTACACTTCGTTTTATAAAGAAAGAAGTTTTTAACTTCCTTAGAAACCTGTGCTAAGACGCAAGGAGTTTTCCTGATTTTTCCTGATTTTGGCCTTGCAAGCTGGCCCTTACCTTTCTCAGTGGAAAATTAATTTTCCATATAAATCCTGTACACTAGGCTTATGAGTTAAGCAGGCATTGCACAGTCTGTATTGCAGAGGGATTGATTTTTACATTGAAGGAATCTCTTTGAAGAATAAGCCACATGGAAATTAGGAGGTGATTGACGATTTGCAATGAATTGCACCTTTGATGTCTCAGAATGAAAGAAAACTTGTGTGCAATTCTTACTGTGGGCTTTTTGGATATGTCTACATGCTGTTTTACAAATTGATTCACATCTAGTCTGTCAGTGCTATGAACCAACTGGAAGCCCTGTTAATTCAATGTCAAGTCCAAGGTTTTGTACCTTGTTGGTCAGCTGGGCCTATTAGTTCAGACTTAGCACTATGCTACTTACATCCCAACAGCTTCCAGTCAGCTCAGAGTACAAGCAGGGCAAATATATATTTGCCTAGAAAATAACACATAAACAACCTATCTGAACCTTTAGAAGCAAAATTTGTACTACTGGGATGCCCTAATATATTGTAGCCCACACACTTCAGGTGCCTGTCTTGTTACACTGCAGTTATCCTGTCTCTAGAACCAAGTTCTTGCAAACCTAGAAGTCAAAAGCTGGCCTTTCTCTTTGCCATTATCCCTGAATGATGTACCTGTGATCAGCCACCTGGAAAGGCAAAGCAGCCAGAATGTAGATGGATTAGCAGTCCCTAATGAGTTTGCTGCCAGGGGTAACTGTGAAATTTGGTTTGTATAGTTGCTTGTTTCAATCAAAATAAGTTCTTCTGAGGTCATGCACTGAGTGCCAGGTGGTGTATTCTGCTTTATATTGGGGCTCCCAAATAGGACCTGGATTATAATGTCAGAGAGTCCTCACATAGGGTCAGCGCTGGCATGTTTGTTTACTAGTCTGCGTTTAAGTAGAGGTGGGTATGGAAGGCAGTGAGCACTAATATTCATTGGCCACCTCAGCTGACTGGGCATTTGCTCATCCCTGAAATAAGCCCCTACAGATTTGCTTTGATATGCCTCAGCAAAGCCATGTGAATATTTTTTCCACAGCTGCTGGCGACGTTCTTCCTGTTTTGTGATTGTGTTTCTCTTTGACTCTCTCTTCAGACTTCAAAGCCTAGAGGGAAGTTCAGTTCCAGTGACATCCACTGGAACCTGGACTCCTAGCTGTCCTCTGTGCCTTTCAGAACTTCCCCCTCAATAAGTAAATGGAAAGGAAGAAAAGCATTGCTACTATCTCAGAGCAATTTCAGTCTCCATCCAACCTTTGGTGACAGACTGAATAGCGGCCAGGGAAGAGTTGGTTTTCTGTAGTCACAAAGCTCTGTGCAAATAGTCCTGCTGGAGAAAGCTTAACAAAGGCTGTGTTACCCAGCAACAATGCAGGTAAAACATCTCCAGAGTATATAGGAGTCAACATTTTTCTTTTGCATACAGGAGAAAGGTCCCTCAGAAGAAAAGAACAGGCCTAATTCAGATCCTGGCCCCTATCAATCTCAGTACGACTCACTGAGAAGAGTTTTTCCAAGCCAGGTGAGAGAACAAAAACAGCTTTTGACTTGTTCAGTCTGTAGAAGTAACTATTGGCTCTCATCTCACCTGAATATCTGTAGCTATAGATTATTCACCTACTTCACAAGCATGTTGAGTTGATCTTCTAAATATAGGTAATCTGTTGTTTTATTTAGTATTGAAAAGAACCATCTGAGAACTTGCTTGAAATACCCTTCGTCTACTTTGTTTTTTGGGGGCCGAGCCTCAGAGTTTCTCTGCAGCAATTTCAACTTGTGGCACCTCTAAGAAGCTTGATGAAGAGAGCTCTGAAGTTGCGCTACTTCAGGACTTGTCCCTCCCACCATATTTCTCAGCTGTGCTATGCTCTTCTTGAATGGTTTCTTTCTCTGTCCTTTTTCAGAGTATATGTGCAAGTAGCAGCTGAATCAATTTAACTGAACTAAAGAACAAGGTTTTGTTAAGCTGAGGCACACCTCAGGGCTTGTATCAGCATAAATATGACTTCCAGTAACTTAGCTTCCATATCTGGTAGGAATGATTCTACAAGATAAAATAATAAATATGACCATGTATGATTGGCTAAGTATTCTGACCTGTGTTCCCTGAACAAATAGCTGCAGCAATTTCAGATGTTTTTCACCAGCCCTCTGCCCTTGATTACTGCCTTTGCAGCAGAGTCAGCAGAACAGAATACATGCCCAAGGCTCTGCCATGCTGGTATACAGTTTGGCAGCTGATTATAAACCCATCTTTATTGGCAGTTTATACATTGAACTATGATCTGGAGTGGCTGAGACATAGCGAAAGAATCTATTCTGCTATCATCGCTAGCAGGGTAGTAAATCACATGTTGCTGTAACCATCCATGTATGTACAGCCTGGCAGCAAGTATGACATAATACAGCTAAATTTAATATAATAAAGTTAAAATAATTGAAACTACCTTGCAATGCTATAGGTAGTTACCACAGCTCAGCTGATGCACAGTAATTTATGAGCGTGGAATAATTCAGGTATGAGTCTGAGCACTAAACTGGGTTGGGTTAACTCAGTTTAAAATCAAACTCTTAGTCTGATTTTTTTTTTTTTTTAACTAGTGCTACGCTGTATGCATGCCAAGGCTCTCTTTCTGTCTCTCCTTCTCACATACACCTCTTCTGCCTCACTCATTAATCCTTCTCATACTTATGGTGACTTGGAGGGCATGTATTATACACAGCTGTTCAGAGTGGGACAGGGTGGTCACAAGGAATAAACAATAAGGAGCTTGTGTTTTACCTGCTTTCTTTAATCTGAAGCAGAGGGAGTAGCAGGAAGCTCGTATTTTTGTTTCAGGATTGGTGATAATAGTATAAACGACCTTACCATAGAGCTAACAAGGAACAACAATGATTGTTCATTAGATAAAAATATTTCACTTGCCTCCTAGTTTAGTATCTGACAACATCTCTATGTCTTTTCTCTGCTCAATGATATTTAGACAGCTCACTTCTAGATTAAGGCCTTGTGTTTACTTTCTGTTAAAAGTATGACTCTGCATTCCTAGTATCTGGTTGCTTTTAGTGGTTCCCTCTTGCATGCCCTGATCCTGAAAACTCTTTGGTGAGTAGCTATTACTCATGCAAACAGGCCCCTTAATGTCAGGGAGTCTAGCCACATGGTCAGGGACTCAGTAACCCAAGAGAGGTTTTTGGGACCTGGTTCCCTTTGAACCCACTTTCTGGAGCTACAAAATCACGTCTCTGCTGACTTGGCAGTTCATTATCAGCTGTTTCCATATGCAGCTTTCAATACCTGAAATACCTCAAAATAGCGAGTCCTGACTTCTGTCACCCTGTACTAATTATCGTATGACAGGCATACAGTCAGGGTTAGACATCCTAGTCAGGAGTCAGGAACACTGCTTTTAATGTGTTAGACACACATGATTAAAAGAGAAGTCCCTCTTTCAAAGAGCTTAGCGCAACGCATATTAAACTTATAGAAGTTAACTTAAACTTATAAACTTATGAGATCTAGGCCAGGTGCTGCTGATCTAGACCCAGTGCTGCAGCAGCTTAACCTTCTGCTTCCCTTTATCCTCTAAATCTGAGATGTTGCCAAGGAAAAACACTGTACTTTGGGGCAAAAGCTGGCCACTGTCAGTGACTGAAGGCTCAGTTTGGGATGCTGATGAGCGCCATCTACTCTTGAGAGGAGTTGGAGGATCCCAAGACCTCATAAAATCACCTCCTTTTACCCCCTTTTCCCAAGTGTTTACTATGGGATTGATCCAAAGCCCCTGAAAACTCGCTAGGAAACTCATTCGCAACTTAGGTCATGACCACAGAGTCAGTCCAGTTCCAGCTGAGGATTTGTGTTATGCACTTCCTGAGGGACCGTTTGTAGGTGTATTCTGACTCCTAGGACATGAACTGCTTTTTAATGACTTTTATACCCATAAGGAACATAAATGCCTTCATCATCTCTAATTTCTATTCAATGCCAGTTTCCTCTCTTTATGTGAAGCAGTAATTAGTTTAATTTGCTTTACCTTGAAAACTAAAATATTCGGTGGCATATTTAGCAGTTACTAAAATTATCACCCTGGAAACGTAGGATGTAAGTAGAGAGATAAAAAAAAAAAAAAAAAGATTGCATCAGGAACACGGCATGAAGAATTACATTGGGAGGAAGCTAAATACTAATTACCATACTCTGCATTATAGTGAAGTCACCAAGGAGACATAGAAATAAATAATTTATCTTTGTGACTTAAAAAGATAAACTTGGAGGGATTAATTTCTCCTTGACTTATCAAATTTCCCCAAACTTACTGTTCTGAGTATTTATGAAGCATCTTAAGGGAAAACATCCCTCAGTTTACAAAGGATTTAATGTTAGGTCTCCAGCCCTCTGAGATATGTTCTAGTTTATGGAGAAGTACGAGGTAACAGATTTGTCATTAATCAGGGAAGTCCCAAATTCATTCTTTACTTTATAGCAGTGAAAAGGTGCTTAAAGATAACAAATATTTCCCTATCCAGTTCTGGATTTCCTTTGGATTTTTTTTCCTAGGATAAGGACTCTAGGACTGAACCCAAATAAAAAGTCTTTTGTATACAAAAATGTACCCTAAATGCATGCAAAGTCATATATAAGTATTTAACCCACTTAACTTGATTTTAAAAAAATATAAGTTATTGAACATGCCATCAACTGCAGCTTCCTGCTTACCACAAGTAAGTCCATGAGAAATACTAATATTAGTGGCCAGTATTGCATGTGCAGTTTATCTCAAAAATACAAGTAGAAGCACAGTTACAGATAGCTTGATGCTAAAACAGACTGGTATTAGCATTTCTGTTTTCAAGGAGAAGCAAGTCTTCCCATGTTTCCTGTGGATACTTGCTGATTCCATTACTTTTCCAAATAAATGGAAAAATACACATTAAACAATCTACGTAACTGATGCTGTTAAATATGAAAATATTATTTTAACAGAACAAAGATTTGGAAAAGACTAAGGAAAATCCACTGTCGTCAGATACAGATGAAGACGTCAAAGAGGAAGAGGAGGAATATTACAAAACCCCCAGCAATCTTTTAGCAAAGGTAGTTTATCAGATGTGAGTTCTTCTGTTTTGTTAACTGTTATATAGCTCTAAGGACACAGGAGACATTTAACAATCCAAAGAGGAAGTGGTATATATAGAGAGGTAAAACTTTGCCAGAGAAATACAGTGATAAAGCACTAGGTAATAGAGCCTTCATTTGTATGAGAAAAAATATACTAGACTCGTTCAAATGATTTTTCTGGTAGCAAGTAGCATTTTGACAAAAACGTTGATTTTTCTTGAAATTCCTCAAGTAGACTGCTTCACTGTAAATGCCTTTTGTCCGTTCTGCCACAGTTTTTTTCAGAAACTAATAACTCATTTTAGAAAATTTATCTGTACGTTACTTTAAATATTTTAAAGTGTAATTCTACTGAAGTGTCAGCAAACTGCATAAAATCAAACAATAATTTTAAAATGCTGTTAAACATTTTGGTACATGCATTTCAGTTTGAAACAAGGGAGCAAGAGGAGTAATTTTGGTGGATATTTTAGAATATAGCTGGTTATGTTCCAGTCTGAAAGGAAAGCAAACAAAGTGTCAACGATACCAGATAACATTAACTTCTAAGTTTCAAACATTTCTATAGCTCACTGGTTCTGGGAGGTGACTTATCTGAGAAAAACTAAGCTGTATGAGCCTTAAACAGCACAAGTACCGAATAAAATAATGAAATTAAGATTTTTCTGTAGGCAAAACAAGAACATTTACCTCGGGTACTGTTGTGTTTCTAACAGTGTAATACTGAAATATCACAGCCTGACCCTACAGCTGAGCCTAATGTCCCTGTGCAAGAGAAGCCAGTGCAGAAGGACCCAGTAAAGGAGAACGTTTATATGTCAATGAAAGCACTGTAAGTAACTTTATTAAGGTTTCGAAAATTAAAATGATATAGTGACGTAGGAACAGCTGCCATTCATGGTATTTACCTAATGATATCTAAAGGGTTCTCATCTTGTTTGAATCAGTTTGTATTGTTTCATCTTGATTGAACAAGGCTGTGTTTAGTCTTGGTTCATAAAGTTCAAAACTGCTGAGTATACCAGAGTGAAATTCAAACTTATCCAAGTAAAATTTAAACTCAGTTTGCAAAGTCATGCATTTAAGTAGGCTCTGACTGTGGGACACAACACTTCTAGTTGACTGATACTTTTTCTAGGCTTTTTTGATGTAACAACCTGCCACTGTACTCAGATACCCCAGCCAAGCACCTGTGACGCTTCAGCCAGCCAGACTCCACAGCAGGCAGCATTGTCTAGTGGTTAGAGGAGAAAAAGAGACCTAGGGCATTAGATCCCAGTTTTACCAGTAAGTTATGTGACCTTGAAAAGGTCATTCCCTTCCTTCCATTGTGCTCTCCAAAGGATAGGTCTAATGGTGCTTACTTCAAAGGTAAATATTTGGCATGTCACCAAGAAAGGCCTGAAATGAGTTTCACAGTTCTAGTGCCATAATGAAATTTTACAACAGTCATGTTAGGGCACATTACGCTGAAGAGAAGTTTGCCTTCATGGTAAAAGGATACCAGTCCTGAGCCAGAGAAGAAGTGGTTGTCAATTGAAACTACCGCCTGCCACCTACAGATGTTCAGGTCTTACTCCACCTAGTGGGAGGCAGTTGGAAATGCAAACCCACAAACCAGCTCATTACAATAGACTCATCTATGTGTTTGGGAGCCCTTCTGGAGGGAATCACTGTAAAAACCCCATAAGCCTATACGATCCGAGTTAAAACCCAAAAAGAACAGCTTTTGCTACTCACTCCAGTCTTGGCGAGAGGAGGCTTCAGACGTTACATGGTTCATCAGCTAATCTAAGAAGCGTTTAAGCACATCTGCGTTATTGCATCCCCCAGGGGACAGTGCACAACCCCACAGAAGCCAGTACAGCCAAGGCCAACAATCTGTACTCACTTTCTTTGTCAAAGCATGTTGTTAGCTGGAATGTTTTCAGGCTTAATAGTAGTCTTTAAATACTGAAAAGGTTTATTTTGAGATTTATGATCCATTTTTAGAAGGACAGTTTATTTTACTTAGCTGTAATTTTGTACACTGGATATGCTACAAGAACTTGTTTGTCTTTGCTTCACTAACAGCTATTTGATCCAGCTTCAAACAAAGCAAAAGTAACTGTGCCTGGAATGGCCAGATTAGTTCTTTTTTTTTTCTTGCCCCCTTTTTCTTCAATAGGGTCCTGGACGATAATCACCAGCTCATGTGCACCAGTGATGGACTCCCGACTCCTGCCAAGCGCCAGGAAACGAGTGCATGCCCAAGAGACTTGGTGGCAAACGGAGACCTAAAACTTGAAGAAAGCACCACCAGGCAGCAGCCAACCCTCCAGAAAAGGCAAAGCTCGTTACCCCTTTCGGTGGTTCAACTGACTATACTACTCAGGTAAGTGTCCTCTCCATTTTTCATTACAGAAAAGACAAATGTATTCATGGGCTTCCACCGAGGTTCTGACAGAACGTGCCTTGTCTCTGATGTTTTCTCTCACAGTCAAATTACAGATGAGACCCAACTGCAGAAGTTGGATATTTTCATCCCCCTGACTGATATTAACAATTACCTAACACTTACCGAGGCAGCAGGACAAATATGGTGAGTTCTGGATATCTTATGATGGTGCCTGTCAGCTGTGAATGAGTGACAATCAACACAGAGATAGAAGTGTGCAACAGTATACCTCCATATACGTTTTTGGCTGTGCAGAACAGGACAGAATCAGTGTGTGTTAGAACTCCAGATATTTCCTACTGCTGTTTCTGACTGTTCATGCATTTAAGTTCCTATTTGCACCATTCTTGAAAGGGACTGTATAGAATTGAGAACTCTGTGGCACCTTGTGTAATAATTAGCAATTAAATCCCACCCAAAAGCTAATCTTCTAATATTGGTGTGAAACACATAATTACTGCTAGCCAATTTTGCCTTTAATTTGGTGAACTATAATGATCATAGAGATGTGGTGAGGCAGTATATCTTATGATAGGATAAATAGGGTTTTTCAACGAAAAAATCTTGTAGAGATTAGTATAGATGACCAATAATTTGTTACGCTTTGTTATTAATGATGAAGCTGAAAATTAAGAAACACATACAAGGTACAGAATTCAAGTCCCACTTATCTGACTTCTGGCCACCATACCCCCTCAAGTATGTTTATGCCTTATGAAGAAAAAGGAGATTTGTGGAAAGAGATGACAGTTCTTTGGCAAGTCATAAAATCTGTTTGTCACTGGAAAGAGTGGCAAAATGGAACCTACCAGCACACAGCGGACCATTTCCAGATCTAGTAAATTCACTAATTCACTCTTAAGTAATTCATCAAATCCCTTCATGTCTTTTTTATCCTTTAACCTATTATCCTGTGTCCCTAATATTATTCACATCACTTTAGAGATTCAATAGTAGCACCTGCGAAGCGCATTAAGAGTCTCTGGTTAAGGGTGGACTATAAGTGAAAACTTAAATGATGTTAGATAAATCATGATAACTTGAGTTGGATCTCAGCATAGGCTATTCTCCATGGGCTAAGCTCGGAATTAATCCTAGCACTGGTTCAGCGCTAGGAATCAGTTGTCAGGCCACTTTTCACAACTAGATGTTTTGGGCTGGAGCGCATCGATCGTCCTAGTAGTCCTGCTAGAAATCAGTGCTCTCCCTAGACCTTTGATATCAGTGACCATAGGAGAAAGAAGGAGGAGCAGAAAAAAAGTTCATTGTATACTTTTTTGCTTTCTTCTGTGCAGTCTGATGGTCTTTCACTGCCGCCCATCACTGAGGCTCCCTTTTGCTGCTCCTCTGACATTCATACTTGTCAAGTACCGCTTGAAGTGGCAGGAAGCCGCTTTATTTCAGCCACTATCAGCAAGCAGAGAAAATACCATAACAAAAAGGACTAGAAATGGGATGCAGCTGTGAAAGTTGGATCTCTATCAAAGTTTGTAGCACTTTTCTAGTGGAAATTTGTTTTGAAAGGATTTGGGGCTGGTTCCAGGACAGAACAGAGCACTAGGTTTGACTGTTGGGTCAGCCAGGCCTAGATAGCTGGTCATCAAGGAGAGTCTATCAGAGAGTCTATCAGAGACAAGCAGGAAAGAGATACTGGAATTTCCATTAGGGTCCAGATAGGATTTTGGCTCATACAGTTGCAAGGACAGGGATAGATGTGTGATTCTCATAGTTATATCATAGATAAAACACATGATTATAGGTTTTAGTTTAATCCTCTCCTCATGGAAGATTTCCAAAAATCATCTCAGTCAAGCATAGGCCTGAAATATCTGCAACAGTGGACATATATCCACACCAAGTTTGGCCCACTGTGTTCAGACTCGAATCCTCAGCTTTCACTATTGACCTTGTTAGCACTAATCTCCTGTGTTAGGTCAGTGCCAGTGTCATGTACACTTTTACAGGGAACTGTTGGGATGGATGAAACTGTTTGATTTCAGCTAGAACCAGATCAAAAAACTACAATATCACTTACTCCGTGTGTTAGTTCCAGAGAGAAATACCAAAAAGTGCAATATCGTTTGGTCATCTTCATTCTGTTAGCAGTAACTAGATATCCCATATGATTACTTGATTATCTGTCCTCCAATTACCCTAGTGTCTCACATTGGACTGGTACTTACAAACTTGGATGTATATTTAACCACGGAGACCGTATAGTGGCTGTGAATGACCTGCACCCACAGAATGTGGAGGAGGTTTCCCTGTTTATCAGCAGGTCCGCAAGAAAGGAGGTAAGCTCAACTAACTTGGAGATGATAGTCAAGTGAATTAAGCCAAATGAGAAAGCAAGTTATTTTTCACCTTTCAAAGAGCTTCATTCAAATGGGTTTACTCTATTTTGAGTTTGGCGTTAGTAATCTCAGTGCCAAATGGTCCCTCATCATCGTCCTGACATAGCACTTCTTATTCGTGAGCTATTTCAGGAGTTGAGAGTCTGCACTGCTGTGTTTGAGGACTTCATCTCAAAGAGCCTGAAGCAAGCTTGTAAGATTCTGGCCAACTGTGAATTAAAGTTACTTGGTATTTTTTAGATAAGGCCCTTGAAATGCAAACTTTGGGGAATAAAGGAATACCACTAGTGAATCTGTAGTTACTTGTGGTGGTTTTGGTCACAAGTACAAGCACAGCAATCTGCTATGCGTTGAGCCCCATGTTCCTCTCAGACGGACTCCTATTTCAGTATCCGGGTTCTCCAACCTATACATGAACACTTCATATTTGAATTTTGCTTAGAAAGTTGAGGTCACCAGATACTGTTGTCATTTAAAGAACAGAAAGCATTCTCAGCAAGAAAAAATGCTCATCTGTCCTAACACGGTATTTTTATTTAGCTAGTTAAAAATACAAATCACATAGTAGCACAAATGTTGATCAGCTATAACAAGCTATAAAACAGTATCTCTCACTTTCTTTTTTTTTTTTTTTTTTTTTTAAGGTGAAACTTACTGTTTGTAGGATCCCAGGTTCAGATATCTTCCATGTTAAAGGCTGCTCATGT